TCTAAACGTTTTTTCAGTTTGAAGCTTATAAAATCGTTTAGAAAAACGTTTAAGTCCATACACTTTTATGTTAAAAAGCTTGCAAAGTTGTGTTGATAGCGAAATGAGACATCTAAAGGTTTTACGTCTTAGAATAATAACGCATATAATGATAGTTTCATATCAAACGAATTGTCACAAGTGAGGCAAAAATCAAATTCATGTAGGAGTAAGCAACTTGTGCTTACGCTAATAATGATGCCATGGAATAATATTTCCCTCAAATGTGGGGAAATTGTATCTTGCTTAACTCATCACTAACTGCCTCCGTGGCCGAACGGTCACCATGCCGGACTGCCACGCAGAGGTCCCAGGTTCGATTCCCGGGCCGGGAGAAATATTTGTATGGCCTACATTTATTTCTCTCGTGAGTTTGGGTGTAATTTGTGGTTGTCTATGTGTGTGTCCATGGCACCCGCGACACAGGGTTTCCCTAGTGCGGGGCTATGTTGATTGTGAGCGTTATTATTATTATTATCATTAAGTTAATAAATAGTATCCAATTTTTATTTCATTACATGAACAAAAACCTAAAAGCGAGTCTAAGTGCGACTATCGAATTTCACTTTAGTTCATGAAAATTTGAATATATAAATAGCCAGATATAATCTGTGGATAAACACATGAAAAGAACATGATAACAATAAAGAACCTAAACCTGAAAGTCTTTTTTACACGACTTTGGAGAACTGACGATGACTTTTTTAGTCAGTGTTAGTTCCCTGAAATAAGTTTAGTTAAGAACGTTTTATTTCTGGGCAAGACAATTTTTTTAAATGAGTCCTGTATAATGAACAAGAATAATAATTTTCACATGAAACTAATGAAGACAAATACTAAATATATTATGTAAAAATAGCTAACGTAAATTCCCTACAATGTTGTCGCGGCGGTGTACATTTGTAGAAATTCTGCAACAGTCGCGATATTGCCTATTCTCAAAAAATTACGAAATATAATTATTTTGAGACAGAATAGCAAAATGGGGAGAAAAAATCCGTTACTTTGCAACATTTTTGTATCTTGTTGCAACGAAATTAATTTTCTGTTTTTAGTGAATATTTACATAAAAATACAAGTTGAAACGCGTTACTTCCTTGTGGAATGTGATGTTAGTATCTATTTTATGTTTGTCTGACGTATTTTTACACTCATTTACCGCACATTTCGTCATTTTTAGCTAAAATTCTTGGGCTGTTCGCGGTGCAAGTTGACCTTGAGCACTGAAGGCCCGCCCGCTCGTGTAAGTAGACATGGGAAAAACGTCTTATTTTTTTAAACGTTAAGCTTTTTTAAAAAAAGCGTGCTTTTTTTAAACGCTTTTTCACTTAAACGCTTTTTAGTTTGAAGCGAACAAAATCGTTTAGAAAACGTTTAAGCGCATAGACTTTTACGTTAAAAAAAGCTTGAACCTTGTGTTTATAGAGAAAAGCAAAAGTAGACCACTAAAGGTTTTAAGATAAGTAAGTTTTTTGTAAAAAACGAGTTAAATTTTTATTTATGACAACTATTTAAAAATATTAATATATATATACATAAAAAAACTAGAAAATACTGCTTATTTTTTTAACGTTAAAACGTACGTTTAAAAAGCGTGCTAAAAGCAGGAAAGAAGACAAAAAGGAAAACGTTTAAGCGCACAGACCAACGCTTACGCTTAAAATGAAAAGCGTGCTTATGTGCTTATTTTAAAAAGCAGACTTTTTTAAGTGCTTTTCGTTTAAACGCCCACCTCTACGTGTAAGCCTATTTGAGTCCCTACAATTTGCCACACTTGGCATGTGCGGACTAGGTTTCTATGCGTTATTATTCTAAGTTTTAAGATAAGTATTATTTGTAAAACTCGAGTTTTATTTTTAGTTATAAAATTATTATTCACATTGACGAATTAATTTGTTTAGGAAACATAAATGGCGAGACTTGAAACATAAGCAGTGCGTTGTAGAAAAGCATATTGCTGAGTACTGAACTGGCCAAAGCGTGCTTATGCGCTTATTTTACAAAAGAAACTTTAAATGAAATTCCAAAATTACCCGAAAGATGGCAAAAGATTGCAGACAAACACAGATACGTAATTAATTTAAGTTTTATATAATTTTCTAAAATTATTTTCATTAACACTTCGACACCACATGAACTTTTCAGGCAAACCAATAATTCACTTAAAAAATGCTTAAAAAATATAAAGACTTAGAAAACACAAACCGCCAACCTTGGTTCCAATAGAGAGACATAGTTTCAATGTTAATTACATCTAAATGCACCGAATTTTGGTCACAGCCATTTTTTTGTCTCGAACTAAGGTCAATATATCTTTGTTTGAAATTAAAATTCTCATAATAATGTACATAATGTATTTTTATGGACGTTAAGTCATTATCGAGTGCGATAAAGTTTATTTTTACTTAAATTAATATAACTACACGTTATTACGTGATGAATAAAATCACTGTACTATGAGTTTACACAGAACATCTAGACGAAAATCAATTTTAAAAAGCTCATTTACAAATTAGTTTTAGCGCCATCTAGCGCCTACAGTCTTAACTTAAAGTCTTAAATTTTACCCTTTTTGCATAAGTTACTAATTTCTCTAAACACACTTTACTTTCCGATGGTTCCGCCTAATCGATTCTGCCTTCAGTTATGTATTTATGACAGCAGGGCAAATTTATTTGCTATCTGTCATTGTACGTATATAGTGACCATGAGCATATTTAACTTTATATCTAAATCATAATTTGATAATGTAGCAAACAACCACAATATACGAGTACTTCATTTCACTTAGGATGGGTACTGTGACATTTGACAGTTTAACGTTGCGTGCATACTATTTTTAATTACTCTCTCTATCAGACTACAAAATACATTGACTTACAAGTAAATGAACGACGGGTCTAATACAAAAACCACGAAAAAAATATCCCAAGTCAACCTATTTAAACGTAGTGACATTTAAAGGAATATGAAAAAGCTAAAACGTTGAATTTAAATTGTAATGTCATCGCAGTACTGTCTAATTTTGCTTGCTTCGCTGTCAGTCGAACAAACGAAGACTAAAGCGTGAATGACGCTCTGTATACGATTTTAACGCCCTATAAGTTCGGACACTTTTCAGCGCGGACCCGACGTCCATATAATTGTAAGTCAATGACAAAATAATAAATATGTTACAATAGACTACAAACAAACAATATTTGTTTCAATTCTAAATTTAAGAAACAATTATTATTGCAGTATATAAAGTGGATAGAAATCATTCACTCACATCCTAAATCATTAACAATAAAGATAAAAATGAATTACCCCAAATACTGCATACGTAAAACGGAATATTTATCCATAGAGATTTACACAATAAATCGAATCGGCGGTAGTTGTATCTCGTGTCAGTACCTTGAATCCTTTTTATTTTTTTTATTATTTGTTCATAAATCAATTCTAGTCTCTAAATCAATTCTCCCTTCGTTACAAACTATCTCGATAAAATATTATTTAAATCGATATTTGTCCATTCGATTTTACATCATTAGATCTTTACAAACTTCCAAATACCTCAAACGTGATCGTACCTATGCAATGTGAAATGGACTATACCTTGTATCAAAATAGATAATTCCCTGTACTATGGATATCCGGAATTCAACCCAGGGCACTACCAAGGACATCCCGGACCCCTGCTAATTTTCATGAAATCAGTGCTCATTGTAATTCCATTTTGACTGCACTCTTTACAGAAATTATATTGCAATTACGATAATATTTCATCGCCTTGCACAAAGTGGCTGAAATGCAAAAAATGGATTGTTATACAAACTCACACGCTGGCTTTTGCATATTCTTAAAGTAATGCATCCAAATTAAGGGTCGTATTCTAGAACTCTACTCAATGCTTAAGTCAGGACTTGAGTATGATTCAAAGCACCAGAAATCATACTCAAGTCCCTGCCATTAGGGTCGTAATTCCAGTGTTGTGTTGGCAGTGCAATCCTGACTTGAGCATTGAATAGAGTCCTAGAATACGACCCTAAAGATATAAAATAAATAGAAATAGAAAGAAATAAATAGAAAGTTTTGCCATCTTCTGAATAATTACTCTTTATAAGATACGATTTTGAGAAAGTAAGGCATCGATTTGTTACTCTGCTAAAATATTTTTGCAATGGCAGTTGAGTCTCAGGGACTGGACGTTCAGTGACGGCATATTTATTCATTCAATTACTAACAATCGTTGTTGCCTTATTTAAAAAGTACCATTGAAATATGCATTATCTTAAGTCCTTCAACTAAATGAACATTCTTTATGTCAAATAATTAGTTATTTATGTTAACGAAAATATTCCATAACATTAATACGAGGAATAAAAACAAATTAGTTGTTCTCGACAGTCGTCTTTATGAAGTCTCAAGTTCATTTAAGGGGAAATGTATACGCTTCTATAATTAGATTCCGATTGATATTCAAAATTGACCATTTGAAACTAAAAATTTTATACTAAAGGTTATTATACAACTTCTGCGTACTTGGATGACAAAAAATCTTGATAGTCACCCGTTTAGCTCCTTTAGGTATTCTCTATCTAAGATGTTTAAATTAAATATTGTAATGATAAATGTATTTACATTATTAAATAAGGATAATTTCACTTTGACTTAGTAGACTACACCCTCGACGTGCTATGGGCTTCCCATCGAAGTGCAGAATACCAAAAAATTGCAATGGCGGTTAAATAGTAGCTTAGTGGCCACTGACAAGCCCGTACAACTTTCATCAGAATACCAAAAGTACAAAATCCTGTCTTCGAAATTCTATCGACATACGACTGAGACGATTTAAAATTATGGAGCAGAACTAATTTAGAAAAGTTCGTTACACTTCCACATCGAGCACCCGTAGCGAAAGGCCGTCGCGCCGAGATCTTCAAACATGTTTGTGTTATATTATTGCAAAAACTAACCTGTTTAACAGAAGTGTCTCTGGAGCCAATCTTGTTCGTAAGCTCCTTGATGTCATTCTGGAGCTCCAGTATCCGGGCTTCATACTCCCCTTGTGTCGTGTCCAGCCGTCGTCGGAGAAGGTGCTTCTCTTGCTCTAATTCCTGAAGAAAGAAAGAGACCACGTTAGTTTTGCAGTTGACATCTTAAAATTTGTTTTATATATTGCAAAGTTTCAGCAGCACAAATAACGTAATAAATAATAACTTATATAACTTTAGCTAGTACATAGTTCACTAACCGCCAATAGATGGCATTGTATTGCAAATGGTAAAAATAATTATTGTAAAATGGTAACACTAATTTAATTTAAAGGAAGGGTTTGTTTGTTTGTTTGTATAACTGATTTTCTGCTTTTAGTCTTATTCTTTCTAACCTACGGCACGCCCTCCTGACAAAAGTATCAAGCAGCGTCCTGAATCGAGATCCGTCCTCATTTGGTCCCCTCAGGCCAGCTATTAAATTTATTACATGGGTTACAAGCCTTTTGTCGGCCGGTGAAGCAGTCCAAGCCAGCGTCTTACTACTCAATATGCTTTACACAGTTGTACACAGTAATTCAAAAATGCCTACGAACCTATACCTTATTATACCTACTCGACTCAAACATAGAATCATTCCTTAAACATCTCGTAGACCGTTACTTTTTTATTTTATAAAAAGTAGAAAGAAAGCAAACTTCGCCCATGAACATCTGCAACATCAGAGGGGCTGTTAATGCGTTGCCAGCCTTTGAGAGCCTGTTGACATGCTTTTTGAAGGACCCCTGTCACAGCGCAAAGGAAATGCTTCAGGAGGGAGATCATTACACATCTTGCAAGTTCGAGGAAGGAATAAAATAAAAACGGTAGAACACACACAGAGTCAACGACTCACCGTAGACGAAGGAACTCCAAACCGTCTATGAGTTTAGGATCATCGACATCACGAACTGCCCGACGTTGGATGGCGTCAAGTCTAATCTTGTTTTTATCATGTCGTTGGCATACTTTATAATATTCCGACCGTAACAAGTAGCCGCCTCGCACAAGCAATGCTGGTTAGAACCTCCAGAAAATTCCCACTTGAACAAAATTTTCTTTTTCCGACCAACCTGAGTCCGAAGCCTATTTAACGACTTCCAGATCGGCCATGGCAATCAGGAGGAAGACTCTCAAAAGGGAGCCAAAGGTAGATGGTACTTTTTCGCGCCATGCACGGGTTGTACCTCGCCCGAGCTGGCTCTGTACAATGATTAGAATCAAGATAAAATAAGAACGCCTCACTTGGATAGCCTGAAGAATAATCAATGACCATAGTTCCCAAACTTCACCTAGTATCCCAAATCCACATATTACAACAATAAACAAGATACTATTGTGTCTAACACTAACAATAGTTAGGTCTGGCTATTGTGAGGTCTGTGCTTAATTTCGATTTTAATCAATGTTTTTTTTAGGGTTTATTGTTTGGACGCTTAACATTATTTTTATAACAGGAAAGATGACATAAATCTTAATTTAAACTATGTAGCTTCGGTTATAATGACAAAATTTTATTCAGAGATAATTGTAACTTCTTTTATGGTGGCATTTCACAAGGTTATTTGTATTTGCATATTTGATATATATGGCAAACGATCACCATGTGTAGATGGCATGTATGACAAAGTACTTGCCTTGTTTGCGTATTCGACAAATGCAGCAAACACCAAACTCGTGTTACCACGCGCTGGTCGGTTTCTCGACACACATCAAACGTGGCAAATAGGCAAATAAACCGTCCACACTTTGGTTATATACATTATTTCAACTCCTTATGTGTAGACGGCAGTGGCGAGGCGTCCATATAACTCATTTCCCACCGGTTTGTCTAAAATTTTATGCTCATTTTTATGTATAGACTAACTTAACCAGTGAAATGAAGTGTATTAGTATCTTGTCTCTTGTAAATGTAGTCACCCAGGCGCCACTTTTTGTTAAGGCCCAGGTTTTTTGCTTTGCTCTGGCTTTACTAATTTTCACGCCTCGTCACTGGTAGACGGTCATACTTGTCAGTGTCTGCATGTTTGTCTGTGCGTTAATATTTTTCCAAGTACATTAAACACCCAATAACGAATACAAGTAGCCATGTGAAGTGCGGCCATTAGACTCCACTGGGAGTATATTACAATTATGATAATATTTGTTATTCTGCTAATATCTAGTTGCAACGGTAGTTGAGTCTCAATAGGGTTTCAGAGGAACGGCAGTGATGGCATTCATTTATTCAATCACGATTACGATCAATAACGATCGATGTTACCTTACTAAAACTACTATAGAATTTATTATGCATATCTCAATTTTTATCTCATTTAATCTGCAATTTGGCCTTCAAATTAAATATGTCGACGCTTCAAAGACAAAATGGGATAAGCGACACTTTTGGTCATATTGAGTTATATAATAATAATAAAATTTATTTATTGAGACAACTGAGATCCAATCAAATGTTAGTAGCTACAAAATTAAAACTATATTAGTACTTATATTTCACTGGGGACTTAGCATTATTTATTAAGTCCCGCATAATTGGGCACTCACTCCTGTCAGCAACTGTCTTCAGGAGGCTATTAGGGATGTCACGTTTTCCCATCAGTAGCGACGCAGACTTTTTACGCACAACAGCCGTGAAACTATCTACGCGGGCGTCAGTGAACATGTCTGAGGTACTGCTGAAACGTGACAGCCCCAACAGCGTCCTGAACGCGTTGTTATATTGCACGCATAGAGCATTCCAAGAGCACTGAGTGTAGCTCTTCCTTCTTTATTCTTGGTGTGCAGTAAGCTTTAAACAATGTACCGTTGGAATCAGCTAATGTTTGATTCCAACGGTATATATAACTCAATATGGCCCAAAGGTGTCCTTTGTCCCATTTTGCATTTCAAGCGTCGATATATTAATAATAGTAGAGTATACCAATGTGGCATTGACTGGCCATTGAAAAGCAGAATACAAACAAACTGCAATGGCAGTTCAGTATAGTAGCTTGATGGGTAGCCACTAACAACGAACTACTCTCAACGTTTAGCACAATACCAAACGTATATATCCTGCAATTGACACTCTATCTACACACAACTGAGACTATTTAAAATTAGCAGATTTGGGGTAATTTGTAAAGTGCTTTACCGGAATGAATTGTGATTGCAGTAGTAGAGCTCTTTGCTAAAGAGTTCGTCCAGGTACGTATTGTCACCTTGCTCATTTCTGCCACCAAGCAGTAATGTGAATATTAATGCGTTTCGGTTTTGAAGGGTCAGGGTGTTAGTGAAATTACAAGCACATGGGGCTTTTCAACTTATGTCTCAGGGTAACGGGCGCAGTGGCAGTCCCACTCAGATCTTTTCGATTAAAATCTCTGAGCGGTGTTGCAACTGTTATGGACATGGCATATCAGCACACCAGACGAACGACTTGTCCGACACTTGGTAACATGAAAAAAAAAACGTTGCCCTGGAAACGTGACTTACAGTCGTAACATCGGGCCTAGTATTACGACAGTAAGTCACGAGACTTATAAACTTGTTTTGCCGAAAACCTATAAATTAGTCTTACTTAATTAGTATTTACGTTTATGCTATTTAAGGTGAGTCACCGGAGAAGAAGCAGGAAAAACTGTTTTTCTAGATCAAACAAACGATACATCTAAGGATATTACCTAAAGAATCTGCTAATTTGTTACACGATTGGATGAACTGAATACAAGTTAATAGGACCAATTACTTGAGAAGAAAATGTCTTAGCACATAATTTTTATATGGAGATATATCTCTTTAAGTTTAGAGATTCTGCTAAATTTCTCAATTGAAACCCTTTACCCTAAAATTTGAAAATTGCCCCGTTAGTCGCCATCGCGTGCTTGTCGACATTGGAACTGTGTCAAATTTTCTCCGCCTGTACTTATTTTATTCATATTAATTGTCAGCGCGCAAGTTGCGGGACACTAGGGGCGTCCCAGCCTTACCTTCTAAAATATTAGCTGGCATTGAAATACCTCGCTTTAACAAGAAGAAATACATACCTACTTAATAATTAAACTTTTATAGAACAATAGAGTGGGAAATGTGTAAAGAGAGGCGGAACCGCATGTTCCGCGCGGAAACGGTGATGTGCTTTTTATTTGTCTTCATTCTTCGACTAATTAAACCTGAGAGCTGGAACCGATTGGGTTAGTTCCGATAATAGAAAAAAATCAGACTTAGACTTACGGAATACAATTTAATTGCTTTGAATGTCCAATGAGGTTTATAAATAGTTAGCCAATATATAATCCCACAGGCCTCCCTCACAATGGGAGGACTTGTCTTCGACTTGATTTTCAAATAATGTTAAAAAGGCTTGGTCAAGAATACCTTTAACTTCGAGCGTGTATTGGACCGCCAAAGTCATCAATGGAAACATGTACAGTACGACGCAGTACAGCATAATAGAAGGTCTTCCACAGTATTAGTATTTTTCTGCATGATACCAAACGACGTACAAATATAACAAACAATAATAAAATCATTGACGGACTGAATAAGATGGTTCCATATTGATTCCAGTGAAAAATTATGGGCACTGAAGACTGGGAGCTAATACCATATTTTATTAAAAAATACGACGTCAAAAGTTCGTGGAATTACGTCTGTTTGCCAAGTTTTATTGAAATCGGTTACCAGAAAGTGCGCGAAACTGGATTCATCATGTCGTTTGCCGCCCTTAGAGGTGGAACTTTTTCTTCAAATTTAAATGGTACTAATACTGAGGTACGAGGGTACCTTTCTAACAAAAAAAAAAAAAAAGAAATCATCAAAATCGGTTCACAAATGCCGTTTTCGTTTAATATATAAAAACAATGCAGTCGACTTGACAACCTCCTCCTGTGTTGAAGTCGGTTAAAAAACGAGTTTTTTTCATACTTTTTAAAATAATACTAAGCAACGAGACAGCTGCAGTACCCTTTAGAGCTTTAAATAACAAAGATCTGAGGGTCACAGCCACTGCGCCCGTCACTTGAGGCCTAAATTGACAAGTCCCATGTGCCTGTAATTTCACCAGCACCCTTCAAAACCAAAACGCTGCAATGCTCAAATTAATA